ATTCATATTTTTCATTCATATTCTTTATTCATATTTTTCATTCATATTCTTTATTCATATTTTTCATTCATATTCTTCTGATTCTAAATTCTAACCCAAGCTCTAAACAAAACTACAAACATGCACCAATGATCTATAATTTTCAATTTTACTTATTTAATTTGCTAAAATAATCCCTAGTTTTTTAATTAAGTAAATATTTTTGATATAAATTTCACATACTCTTGAAACTCAAGAAGTATCATGATTCACGTGGGGTATAGATAAAATACAATAGTATTTAATTATCTTGTTATGTATTATCTTGATATTTAACAATTTATTAATGTAGTTAGATCTCTTTGCAGTATACGTAGATAATATCACTTTATGATAGATTATTTTATTAAAGAGGTAAGCGATCCATGCAGTTTAATTAATACATATTAACGTATTAATATTGATTGGTTAATAAATTGAATATAATGAAATGTGTGTAATGTAACTTTACTGTAATAAACTATAATATGCATAGCGTAGTAACAGATAATAAATTTCATAAATTGTCATTTTATTTAACCAAACATTAATGTTAAAAACACGTTAGCTTTAATGTTTTTGTTATTTTTCCTTATTGAGAATGAGAAATAATGGTACACACATGCTTCTTAAAATGATTGATCAATATTATATAAATATATATAAATATATATAAATAATTAAGCGATTCAGTATGACTGATTAAAAAAAAATTCAGGGCTTGCAGCACTTTTTTTTTCTCCTTCATGACATGAATAACAAATATGTAACTATTGTGACTATTGCAGAATGTTTGTCTCCTTATGATCAGCAGAAGAAGAATTTCCGAGAACTCTCATTCCGTAACTTAGAATCAAATTGCGGAAACCTATGCAAGATTAATTTAACTTATTAACTTTATGCACGATTAATTTATCGTTATCAATAACATAACCAATAATAAAAAATCTATTAACTTAAATATCATTTCCTGGAATTCAAATTTTTTTAAATTAATTATATATAGAGAATTTCTATTTGTACATGGGATGTATGTACACGGTCAATATAAAAGCAACCAATATCTCAAAATTTTGATTATGAAACCACCTTTTGGCTTTTAACAAAAAAAATTTCTTGCTCAATTTTGGTATAAGTTATACCCCATCCAACCCAAACCCACCTTTACCCTAACCATAAGCAAGGATTTAATTTTTGCGGTTGTAATTGATGCCATGTTACACGTATCTGTGTTATAAACACTATGTGTAAACTAATAAATATTCTTATATATGTACTACGTATATCTATATGTAGATTTGTGGTTCGCTGCACTCAGACACTGGTTTAATATGATGTCATGTAATTAATCAAACCAAGTAATGTCAAATCAGTAATGGGTAAACCTATGTTACGTATAAAATAGACCGATAACTTTAATAAAAATGTTACACTACGTACGCATAAGTTATCGGTTAACTTTTTTAAGTTAAACATTTCATATCGATATATCCATTGTACCGGTAATCGTAATCGTAATCGATTGATCAACACATCTGAAATTTATCGTCCCATTCTTTAGCATTACAAGATAGTTAATAAAAATCCTAAAGTTAGTTTACCGACCTGGTTGGGTGCATTAATTTGGATTACTTTGGTTGAAATTCACCTAATAATCGTCGAAATATCCCTAAATACAATAACTCTGACATAAATATATGCTAGATTCTATAAATACAATTTTCTAAATTTAAATTTGGTAGTTTGGTTTCTATAAATTGCATTTAGAAACTGACCGGTAATACGAATTTTTTAAAAAAAATTGATCATCCTTAATATTATTATCAGGTTTTTTTTTTGTACTTCTTAAAATAAGAGTGTTATAATGCTAAGGAATTGATAATCTTATAGCATAAAAATGATATGAAATATTAGGTAAGCAAAATCTTGAAAATATGATTATTAACTTCTGAGGCATATCCATTTGTTTTAAAAAAAATTTTTTTACATCTATAACAAGTAAATGGCGTTAGATTTAGTTACATAATTAAATATATCATAATCATAACAATAAAATTTAGAAAAACAGTAATATAATAAAAAATATCCAAAATTTATGTTGGACATAAACTCACATGTCGTACTTTAAGAATGCCTAAAAATTTATTTAAATGATTAGTAGTAATAGTAAATGGAAACTTCTACGCTAACATTAAGACAAGTACAGGACAACTAAGATTAAATGACCACATTAAAACAAACACCAGGCAACTAAGATTAAACAAACACATTAAGACAAGTATTCATTATTAAGGTTAATGGACAAGCACGTACATACGTACAAGCAACTAAGGTTAAATGAAAACATTAAGACAAGTACAGGGCAACAAATGAATTATATTTAAAAGGAAAAATCAACATGAATTTACTGAATGTTCCGTATATAGAAATAATTGACTTTTTGGATTAGTCAATTTTCAATTATCATGCTAGCTCGATTAAAAAATAGAAAGTCTACACAATAAAACAATTAATAATAATATTTTTTGCGCCCATATTGTCGATATTTGTCAATATTATCGAAAGCTCCACGTGAAATATGTGTTGCTATAAAAATTTTGCTGTTATTAATATATTTCTGCTATTAATATCGATATATGTTGTGGATGAGATTGTTCAATTAAAAAATTACCTCGTATAACGTTTTACAATGAACTTTAGCTTACCCAATCCGATTTTTTGTGATTTTTGTTTGAAAACAAAGATTGTCCAAAGTTTGTTAAGAATAATGGGAAATATAGTGAATCTTGTGAAACTTGTTTCATTCCCCGTTTCCCTTTTTGAAGAATTTCATTTCTATATATAATCACTAGCTTCACGTTTTCGTTGCTTTTCTACCCCTAGGTTTCTAAACTCGGTTCTGTACGGTGTTTTGCTCTTTTTGCTTTAGTATCCGTCGCAGACAAAAAAAAGCTTACCTTTGGCAGTGCCAATCTGAGGAACGCTGGTCCGTTTATAAACGAACTCGCTTCTCGGTCTACGTCGGAATAATTCCGCGAGCTCACCGTCAAAAACTCTCGAAAAGTCGGTCAAATTCGCGACTTCTCTGCTTAAAAGAAGCCAAGGTGTCGAATATTTTGATTTGAACGAATCAACCCTTTTCGACTTTTTTTCAATGTATCGTACTTTTATTCGTTTTAGTGTTTTTTTCGTCTCTGCCCTGTTGTTTGTATGTTTGGTTTTTTTTTTTATACTATTTGAACTTTCGGTTAATCGCACGCATTCCTAAAGTCTTATTTTCACTTCAATTATCATTATCAGCTTTATACTTTATTCGTTGCTATTGTTACTCTCAGAAGATTGAATCGTAAGTTAATACAATCTTTATCACATTTGATCATTCTAAATGTAATGATTTTTTTTCTTGATTTTTTTTTTCAGTCACTGCAAATCATCTCAGTACACCATTCCTGATTGGCTATGCTGTTATTGAAATAATAGTGGCTCCTTCGGGTTTATTTGGAATTTGTGGTGCTATTTCTAACAATGTATTCTTGATGAATCGTTATGCGCGTGATCATTGGTTCTCTGTTTTTGTCTTGACAATAATTGATATTGTAAAGATAATCCTTTCTTTTACGATGAAAAACAACTCCATTGAATCTTGTATGTCAAGTTCCGATGAAATTGATGAAATAACTTGCGAAGGTAGAGTAAACTTTAACATATACGCAGGTCTTGTGATATTTGGAGCTCAAGAAATTATTTTGGTATGAAATCCTTTAAAAGATTGTTTTGTTTGATAATGAATTTCGATAACATTTAATGTTTTAAAAAAACTTACATGATTGGTCAATAGGTTGTTCTTGGTTTAATCGTATGGTTTTGTGCAAAACGAGTTTCACAGAAATCAACTGATAAAAAATCAAAAAATCAAAAATCAAAAGATAAACAAACAAATAAATCAGAAAAGAAGGATGTTAAAGAAATTGATATGGAGGTTCAGGAGTCTCATGTAGCAAATGATGTTGCATCTACATTGTCTATTGATGTCTTAGAAAAAAGACAATATATGGATCAGGAAAGTTTAATAGCGAATCCTCCTTCTCCATTCATCCGTAGACCAACACAACTTCAGAGACAAGCAAATCAACTACCTAACGAAATTAAGCCAGAATATTCAAGAATGCAAGAAAATCAAGGAAATTCAAGAATGCAAGAAAATCAAGGAAATTCAAGGATTACTCAAAATACACAGGGATTCGATCAAATACTTACTGCCTCAACACGTAACCCTGTTGTTCCAATGCCACCAAAACAGGGTTCACAGGGTTTGCCGCTTGCACGCTCGTCGACATTATATAATAATCCTCTGAATTCAAGGCCTCCAATTATTCAGCGGCGTAACACGACATTGACCTCTCAACAATTGACAAACTATCAACAAATGCCTCAATATGTACCAGATATGCGTCCTGTAAATGGTAATGGTATAATCTTTCCACCTATACTGAATCAAACTGAATCTATATCAGGTTTTCAACTGCCACAGCAACCTCAACAATCATATCGACCACATAATAAAGTGCTTAGTCATAAACGTTCAGATAGTTTTCCTCAACCTCGTTCCATTCCTTTACCACCTATTCCCAACAATCCAGGAATCTATCAATCTGCATATCAAAGAAACAATCAATATAATATAGATCAACGTTCAACTATTCAGTCAAATTCTCCTTATTTATCATCTAATCATTCAAAATCATTACCAAACTTACATAACAATATAATTGATCCTTCAATACCACCAATACCACCAATTCCTTCTAATCCGGTACCTAATAGCCAACAACCAAAAAATATTATTCCTCCAATGTCAAAGAATATTATTTCTCCAATGTCAAATAATATTATTACTCCAATATCAAATAATATTTATTCACAGCCAAAAACCCTTAACAATTCATTCCAATCTTTAGAGGAATCAAATATAATACCAAATTCTAGTAATAGAAACTCGTTAAAAAGAATGAGACGAAAATCTGCGCACAATGTTAGAGGAGAGGCTGATCAAAGATTAAATTATACTCTATTATATAATAATTATCATGATTTACCACTTGTACCAAACTCAGGTGCTGATAATAACACGAACAATTATATAAATAATAGTTACGTTTCTCATTCGAGATTATCAAATCAAGTATTTCCTCATCCTTATGGTGTACAAGGTAGTAATAGTAAAAGCGCTAATAAACAAACCTTTAATCAGAAAGTAAATAATAGTTATACAAATAATAGCTATGTTGCTCAGGCAAGGTTAACAAATCAGATAGTTCCTTACGATGAAAGAAGGAAATAAAGTGTAACTTTGAGACTAAATTAATTAATAAGCTATTATTATATATACTTTAATTTTGGTTATAATCTTTTTTTATAGGTTTGCTTTGTTTTTTTTTCCTGACTTTCGCTAATTTTATTATAAGCATACCTACCTACTTTCTATTGTATTATATGTATTTCGTATTTGTGTGGGTTATTTGGATGTGTATTTTTTTTCACGTAATAATAAAAAGTGGTAATTTAAAAGTTTTTTTATTTCAATTTTTTTTTGGTTTCAAAATTTAATTATAAATATGTAAAAATCCCGTGAAATAATTTATTTTCTTTCAAGATTATCAACCTTTAATTAATGTTAGAGATCAGCGGCAAATTTTAACTAATGAAGGAATGACTAAAATCGATGTCTGAAATATTATTGTTATCCCTTACACCGTTTTGCAGGCAAATTTGCCTGGAAATTTCATGATTGATCTGTGATTAAGCTATCAAATTATATTGGATTGTATATTTATTGGATGAAAAAAAACGATTGCTATTTATAAAAAAAAAAATAATCTTAAAATTTTGCAAATATATTATATATAACTATTATTTGTTTAAATAAAGATTATTAATTAAGTTTTTGAGTGAGATATTAATTTGGCCAGAGTTTGGGATTTCGTCAACAAGTATAGTCTAAATCGTAGTAAAATATGTAGTTAAATTGACGGTGTAGGCGAACTTAAATATGACGATTAATTATGTAATCAAGGCACATGTTACAGAAGGCTGATGAATCATTGATGATTTTTCAAGGATTAATTTGTCATAATTTCCGGATCCAGATTTTCCTTAGGTGGCACTCATATAATTTATTTAATAAAGGTCAGCGTTAACGGGTAAATTACAGAATTTGATTGGTTTTTGCACATTACTGTGGTCGTATGATACTAATTGTTTCAATGCTCCGATGACACATATTTGACATGTTGAACAAGGTAGAAAAGGTATTATATTTTGTATCATATAGTTTATACTCTTCAATTTTTATTCTCTTTTTTTTTTTTTTTTTTAATGTTAAGGCAAGTAATTGTAACCCAGGAGTTTATTGATAATCAGTCGGCATATAACTATTGTGTACAACAACTACAGAGGCAATCATGGAAAGAGTGTACAACTAGTCACTCATACAACTTTAGTCATTGTCTATTTTAAGTAGTCTGCTTAAAGGTTCTACATTAGTTGTCATACCTAGAACCTGCTTGTGGATTCCTATTTAAACACTCTAATTCTCATATCTATTCTTATCCTATCAATTGCAAGGTTATTGTAAATATATTATGGTTATTAAGTCATATTTAATTTTATATTAAGCTCATTAGATAAAAAAAAAAAAACTCTTCCTGTCGATCACTTGGACACAAAAATCGCTAAAGAAAAAAGTAGATTTTAGCAAAAACAGCAATAGAAAACATCTCAAGTAGTTCTAAGCAGAAAGAAGCAGTAACAGGAAAAGCAATAGACTAATAGAAGAAAAGTCTATTTGCAAAGAATAATAGTATAGTTATTAAAGAAAAGCAAAAAACTCACTTGGAAACGATAGTAGTAGGGAATTGTCATTAGACCCTGTAACATAGATCTGTTTACATTACACAAAACATGTAATAACAAAACAACAACAGACATGTGCAAGCTGTTAAAATAGAATAGATATGCAAATCTTATACCGATACACATAAATTCTATAAATAGATAAGCAAAATAGCAAAGAACCAATCAGAAGGATATAGATATAAATAGAATATGGAATTAACAGAGCATGGAGAAAGTCTTTCAACAATATTCATGAAAAGAGCATAC